CCCCCCTGTGTATTACGTGGGTGTTAATTTTGTTCATTCAGAGTGAACAGGGCTGCTTGAGCTGCAGAACTAATGTGCTGCTCTTAAAGCGAGGTTTACTTTAGAAGTTCTCAAAATAGACCAGGCTTTCGGTCTAAGTGGCCCCTTCCTGGAGCGCTTCCGAGGACTAAAGCTCGCCTATCCCCTTCTGACGCAGGTGACAGATTGAACAGTCTGGTTTGCTTGCAATGAACCGATTTATGAGATGAAATCTCCTCCTGCAACACAGCCAACAGCTAAACACTCACCCCAACACACACACAGAAGAATAAGCATTAAGAGAACCCACTTCTTCAAAATGCTGCATCTTTTTCTTACCTCTGACACACATGGCTCTCCTTTGGAAAGGAAAGGGGTGAACTGGTTTTCCGTTTTGGAGATGGAAGTCTGAATGCTCACGCTCGTGTCCTCACCTGGACGACTTCCCTTTGTTTCTGGGTTCATGGAGCCAGGTCCGCCCCGGGTGCCGGGAGCTCTCGGCAGGATCCGCAGCTCAGGGTCTGGCCAGAGCCTCTCGACACCTGCACTGCCCAAAGTCCCTTTTCAGTGTCCGGCTGCCACTCACAACATAGCAGTGAATTTTAAGTACATAAAGAAGATATTCGCGATAGCGGCATTAACGCAGACGTGTACTCAGGATGCATTTCCCTTCTGCTCAGACCGCAACTTCTCCTTTTAACGTTTGTCCTTCCCATCTGCCTGGCAGCCTCCGAAGGGACACATGAGCAGGAATTCCACATCCAGTTCCGTACAGCACATACCCACCAGCTGAAACAAGCCTAGATGTATTTCAGTCATGAAAAAGCATGAGGTTTAGCTGTAAGCAGAACTACAGCCGGCTGCTCTGAGACGAGCTAGCAGGAAGAAGTCTTTCCAAAATAACAGGAGATGGACAGAATTTATAGATGTTTTAGTTAGTGACCACGGTTGAGCAAAATCTAGAATTACAACCTAAATGGTCACTGCAGAACCCCTCTCGGAGAACTGCTGCTACCTTCCACTCGTCAAGTAATGCAAAAAGAGAATTTAGGTTTTGCATCAATTGTGAAGTCAGAGCCATGAACAGAAATCAACTGAGCACAAAGGTAACACACCAGAACACCTGTGTAGTGTCAGCCAGGACCCAGCCTACCCGTCTCGCGTTCGGAAGCTCACAGTACCATATAGCGAAGGAAGAAAACCTCATTTCAGAATTAATGCCAGAAAGCTTTTGTTTTCTCTCAGACTTAGAAGGAGACTACGCATGTGACTGCATCTCTGCTGCCTGCATGGAGTTTACACTGGCTGGATGTGCTTCAGTATTACTTAACAGATACTGTAAATGCCCCATGATCCTACCCCTTGCTTAAACTTCTGTTAAATCTGTTGATAGCACGAGGGTTGCTGTTCTAAATCCCAACCTTTGTACAGGTTCTTTATTAATACCTTAGAAACAGTTTAAGGGTAGAATTCTCTAAGATAAGCTAGCAAAACCATCTACTTAACCGCATCCCGTTCATCCCATTTTCTAGTTCTCAGCATCCCTTACTCATTTAGCAGGGCTAGTTTGGGTTTTCTTGGTGTAAAAGCTATTTTTCAAGAGTAAACCCTCTGATGCAAGAGTTCCAGTATTAAATTTAAGTAATTTTAAAACCTTGTAGATCAAAGCAGATCCCCTCAGTATCTTCTGCATTTGAGAAAACTGGCTAGTTCAGAGAGAGCGAGGCAGAATTTGCATTTTAAAAAAATTTATTTCGACAACTGTTGCTCTTAAATTAAAAGTTAAAAAGAGCAGGCAGTGCACTGACACTCTACTTCTAAAGCTGTTTTAAGATGCAAGGTGGTTTCTTCAAGATAAGACAACTCAGCATGATCCAAATTCAACTATCCATTTCTCGTATTTCTCAATGTCCGCAGCAGATACAGATTTAGAAACTTTCTTCAAAGCTATTTCAAAGTCTTCCATAGTTGTCGGCATGTGCATTTCATCTCGGGAAAGGTTTCTTATTTCTTCTGGTGTCAAGCCTTCAATACGCCTTCTCATAGCCATCAGTGACGCATCTCTATTAAGGATCCAAAAGAAAAAATAAAATTAATGAATACAGGATGGTGAGTTCCATTGTTTGAAGGCATTCCAGTTAAGCTGCTGCATTCAAAAAGACCCAATAAAGAACTCTACACTTGTACAGGAAGATCTCAGGTGCTTGTACAACCTACAGTACCATGCTATCCGTATTTTTAAAACACGGATTTATGCTCGCTGGATCCCTGAACAGTTCCTGTTCACAGGCCAAGCAAAAGCAGTGAAGACTTAACTAGTTTATCTAACGCCACCGCATGCCTGTGAGGTAGCTGCTCTTTATAGTATTTTTAAACAGGAACAAGGCAAAGTAATGGTTTCACTCCTCCTACGTATAGAAGTGGCTGGAACATTTTTAATGTTTCCTGGTCCAAACAGGAATCCCACTTCAAAGGCAGAGGGCTCAGCAGTATCTACCCCCAACCTATACGTTCACAGCTAAATGCAAAACTACAAAATCCGTTCAGCCTGTAGCTCCTCAAGCTTCTGCTCTCCATAGGCGTCTCTACAGGCGTGCCATTTTCTTGCTGCATTAAGTCCGACCGCATTTGGATTTCCAACAGTAACAGCAGAAGCAGCAGGTGATGAGCTGGTGAGGTGACAGATGGGTAACACTGAAAGACTAAAGTTCCTGCTAATTCACTGTTACATAGCTTGTAGTAAGAAGAAAATGCTACTTATTTTCTCTAGCAGTAAAAGAGATGCCAGAGTAACCCTGGCCATATCACAACAGTATATCATGTTGTATTAGTAGGTAAGAATGCAAAGAGAGAAAAACTTGTATTTTGCCTTCTAGGAGGATTTAGAAAGACGGTTTCAGCATATTCTGTTTCGGTTCCACCCTGCCCCCTCCAAAGGAAACCATCACTGACAGGCTTCATTAATTTTGTAAATAATTGTTAGCAATTAGAATGCATAATACAATAACTAGAATTTCAGAACAACCCCAAAAAGCTGCCATGTTGAACTCCATCTTAGTCAAGTATCCCCACGCTTTGCTGTTACATCATCAGTTGTGAGCTAAAGGCCAGCGTTAAAAACAGCAGGGCGGGGGGAGCATCCCATGCCTCTAATTCGCCTCCAGACAGCAGTTTACAAAAAACCCCACAAAACCGACCCCACCGACCCACCCCACTGTACCTCAACACACCCACAAAACTCAAGGGGGGCTGCCCCCACTTTCTTCTGACTCCACTGACAGCCATTCCTCCGCCAGCCCTGGGGGCTGTCCCAGACGCGCTCTCGGTGCCGAGGCAGCGCCCACGCTACATTCAAAAAATAAGCAGCCACCCACTGGAACATGCAGTGGGGTCAGGTCCGTTCCGAAGCCCTTTCAATCTTCGCCTTCCTGAAGGTCTTTTTAAAATAAGGTTTCGCCTTCATTTTCCACGGTTATATGCTGACTGTTCGGAACTGTACTGTTACCTCTGACTGGCTTTCATTCTGGCTCAGCAAACTTTGGATCTCATCTCAAATTCTTTAAAGTAGGAGAGTAATTTGAGCAAACCAGAGTTCCTGGTTCACTTTTTCTTAAGTTTTGCTTGTCTCACTAGCGAGGATTGTAATAGTCTACAAGTCTGAACTTTACTATGCTTATATACTGTGAGTCTGAACCGTACAAAAGCACTTCTAAATCAGCCATATGTCTTTTTTGTCTCAATGGTAACGAAACAATCGTGTCTAAGATTTTTCCTGACATCAGTAACAGAGTGTAAATACACAGGCTAATACAAGTATTTTACTAATTTCAAATCATGCACATCTAGACCCCAGTTTGTCGGGATTTCTGGTTGCTGCCACCTCAGTTATCTCTAAGGAGACTGCTGCAAATGAAAGACTCAGGTGTTTCTTTGGGGGTTTTTTTTTTTGTTTGCTTGCCTGCTTTTGGTTTCTTTAGTAGCATTTATACAAATGGACTTAATGGATTAAAAAATGGAAAGCAACAGTGTATGTATATATGCAATTCACTGAAAAATCATTACAAGTATTCTGACTTTTAAACAAATGTATTGGTATCCAGTGTAAAATTAATTACAAATAATAAACACTGAACAGACCGGAGACAACCTGCAGCTAAAATACACAAAGCAGCCAGCCAAATAAACTCTTTCATGTAACACGAACCTATTTGCACAAACTGCTTTCAAAGCACAACCAACACCAGGACTGAGAAAAAGACCACCACGAATTCACCTCACAAACCTACAAATGAAACAAACCCGCACAACGCTGACTCAGAGCAGCTAACATACCATTTCTTTTCCCAGACACTGTGTAAGGTTTGCTCAGGAAACAGCACTGAGGCTCCAAACTCCTAGTTCAGCCTTAGGCGACCCTGCTGACAGAGCCTTTGGTGGCAGTTCTGCGCACAGGCTACTCGCATTCATCCCTGCGGCACAGCGTATCGTCCTCTCCGCTGTGCTGGCAAGGGTTTGCAGAGCTGCATTAGGAATCAAGGCAAGAAATGGATCTCCATTTGAGGAAAGTCACAAGGAGGTGGTTTTAATCCAGAACAGTTCTCTTCTGTTCAAAGTACAGCCCCACAACGTTGTGTTGGCATAACCAGGAGCTCAAGCCTTGCACTGGCTTCAGTGCTGCCTCCAAAGCCTGAAAGCACAGTGACATGTGTGCGTATCAGATGACAACAGCATCTTAAGAAGCTTCGGTTCTTTGTCCCTTGCTGCAACTGTGCCAGTGCAAATCTTGAGATGTAAATGAAATGACTGGTATTCGTCTCTTAAAAGATCAGTCCTTTCCTTCCCTTTTCAATTTTTGAAAGAAAAGAAAAGCAAAGCTAAGATTGGGGGAAGGGTTAGAAGGTATTTTTAGTCAATTATTTCAGGAATCTAGGTTACAGAATAGGCCCTCAAATGATTGTACGTGAACAGCACTGAGGAGAAGGGGAGATGGAGGAGGTAGAAGAAAACTTAAGTGAGCCTCATCGCTAAAGCCAAGGTGCTGAGTACCCAGCTCTTGTACTGTCACACAACACCGTATACCTTGTCCGTATCGGGAGGAAGAATGCTCTGCATCTTCACGTTCATTATTCTGGCTTCTGCCACTATCGCCTCTTACACATGGACGTTCTGCCAAAGTAGTATAAGCTCAGTGGAATGACTGCAACTCTACAAGTTGAAGTGTACCATCCCGTGGATATTCCTCAAGCAAGGAATTTGGTGTACATGAAAGAACATGGAATTTTACCTAAATCGTAGCTTGTTTAGATTACTATGTTGCAACTGCTCTTCATCATTATTATATGAAAATACCAAATGGAAATCTAGGTAAATATTAATGCAGTATTTCACCTTTTAGCCACACATGAAGGACAAGTTACAGTCTGGTTTTATCCAACAACTTTAATCATGTAAATTAGTTACTTTACAGTTTTCTCAGAGTTTGTAGCAGTAGTAACATAAATGAGCAATGTTAACATACCTGCATACGTTGGTAATGTCTGCACCTGAATAACCCTCCATTTTCTCAGCTATATTTGCAAGGTCAACATCATCAGCCAGTTCCAGCTCTCGCAGATTTATTCTTAGGAGTTCCTCTCTACCTTTTGCTGATCAAAGAACAGAAAATTGAGTCTATACTATTTGCCTTCTGAAGATAAAAAATGAACTGAAGAAGGCTAAGAGGGAAGAATGAGAAAAAGGATGCTGTACTTACTACAAACATAAATGTTCAATGTTTAGATTTAATCTGGTCTTGAATTCATAAATGAATTTGCATACGTGTACCAACTGATTTTTAAACCAAGTGATCAAAACTAAAGGAATACTGATGAAGTTGAGATTTTAGCCTTTTCAACAACTCCTTTCCCCAAGTCTTCCTACCTGATGGTAAAGGAATGTAAATTCTCTTTTCTAGTCTCCGTCTTAGGGCTTCATCAATATCCCAAGGAAAATTAGTAGCAGCGAGTACCATGACCATCTTGGAAGGATCATCATTTTCAGTAGCCCCTCCAACACCTGCATTGGAGAAAAGAAGTAGTAAAATGTAAGTATGCTTTGTGAAATTTCATGTATCGAGAGAACAATATCCACAATTCTATAATACTAGAGCAGCTACTCTATTGCACTTTAGTGAGTCCAAGTGCAAGAGAATCCCTAAGTGTGACAGACTTCAGTTTTTCATTTATGTGATGGCCTGCAAGCAAAAATGGAGTCTTGGTTTAATCAGGAAGTTCCTCTCTATCATGGCTGGAATCAAGAGTTGTTTCTACTTCTGCCATTACAGTGTTTGAATTTTCACATCAACGTCCTGTAACAGCATGTGAGGAAAACCAAAATAACCCCCCAAACCATCACCACACCAAAAAGCAGACAACCCCCCAACAGTATTCACTACCAGCCACACAAAAGCAGCATTACTGCCCTACAAAGTTGCTTCACTTCTGAATTCAGGCCAAATGTTTCACATACGCAGGTGGACTCTTACAAACTGCCAAAGCGAATGTTTAAGTTTGCTGGACTGAATCACAGCTTCTCAGAGGCAGAGAGAACACCTCAGTCTCTAAAGTACTGTGAAACTGCTGCTATATGAAGAAGGTCTTTTCATTGAAGTTGCTACTCTCTGCATTTACTGTTTTTGCTTATAATCATAGCATTGGGCTGTGGAATAGCCATTGTACCTACTCAGCCTGAAAATTTGCATATAAAACACCATTTATGAACGCTCAAGTAAAAGGACTTCAAATAGTTGTTACTAATAAAATTAGCTGAGGTGCATGCTTGAGTTATGTGAACAGCATTACAGCTCTGCTGCTATTTAAAGTCAAACATAAAAGGGTATCAACATCAGAGAACCAGAAATAAATATACAAATCTTCTGACTCATGGAATTCTATCACAAATTACTCCACAGATTAGCACTTTTCAGTTGCGCCTTTCCTTCTCCCTGCTCAGAGTATAAAAAGGATGCCTATAAAGCAACTTTGCAGTGTTACCTACTTTTAAACTTTGTTGATTTGTGAAACATTAACCAAATAGCTGTAACAAACTCAGTGTTTTAAAAAGAAAACTCTCCCAACTACTTCTATAAAAAAACTGCCTTCATTTAGAGATCCCAAAGAAGTTACGTGTAATGATTGCCTTTGAAGTTTAAATTGGAACAGGTGACAGTTGAGTCACTTTTTACTTGGTTTTGGAGAAGTAAGTGATATGCTAGGTAAAGACTGCAGTTTTGAAATCTTGTATTTTCTGCTGAATCTTCATTATTCTGGGTCAGTAATAGAAGGTCATTGCTCAGATGCTAAAAGGTTGTTACATAATTGATATCTTTTTTCCTTCCACACTGACAGTTGGAATCGTATACTTGTATCTTTACCTAAGGCTTTCAAACAAATTGCTTCTGAAGAATGAAGTTTTGATTATTTTTTTTTCCCCCTCCCTCAAGTTTCCTCCAGTCCAGCGCTTCCCAGTGATCAGGTTATTTACCATCCATTTGAACTAGCAGTTCTGCCTTCACACGTCGGCTCGCTTCATGTTCCTCTGAGGTTCCCCTGCGACTACAAATAGAGTCTATCTCATCAATAAATATAGTTGTCGGGGCGTAAAATCGAGCCTAAAGAAAGCAAAAAGATAAAGCAGAAACTGAAGTGACAGTCTACTCAGATTTAAGAAACAGCAGCATATTCATAGCTGTGTAAAGACCCATTTACCCCAATGAATCAGCTCGTAACCATCAAACCATACCTAACCTTCCCTCTTTGACCACTGCACACAACTACAGAGCAGCTGGGCATTTATTAATGGCATTTGAGCAGAACAGTTTTTGGCAAAGTCCGGTAATTGTTTGGGTTTTAAACAAATGTTTAATAAGCTAAAGGCAGTTTTACACATTAGGAATAACATTTCTAACTGTGGAAGTCACCACAGAATGCTTGACTAAGAACTCGGTTAAAGCTAGGACAAACATTAAGTGTTCCATGATATGGAACTTGTCCAAGAGCCAGGTCAACTGCAAAATAACTCTCACCTTTTTGAAAACAAGAGAGGTCAAAGACAAGGATCTGTGATAATAAAAGTTATTGTCCTACAGCAGTTGAGATGCTGTCCATTGTGCGTATACATTTCTGACTGATCATACTAAAGGAGTTTATATCATGCCTACCAAACTATATCGTAAAAGATCTTTTATTTCCTGACTGTTCTGACCACGGTATTTGCAACTCCGCGGCCCCCTTCAGTACTGGGCACTCTAGGCAAACACCGCATGCAAACCTGGTAACACATGAAAAAAAAGATGACATATTCTGAGCCAATTTCAAGTGTTACATGCTCTGAAGCCAACTACAGTTTGGAAGCCCACTTATTTTAAGCACAAACAAAAAACCACCCACAATAATGACAAAACATGCACAGACTAAGTAGGGTTCTCACCCTGAAGCAATTAGATTCCATCCCCAGTTTTACATTCATGTATGTTCTTCCGCACTCATCAACTTATAGTGAGCTACCTCTAAGGTAACAAGCTAACCTAGAAAATAAAGACGACCTCTTTTTTCAGTTTTTATAAAGTTATTTAGGAATAAGCAGGTCTCAAATGTACATGGCCAAATCAGAAGGTCCTAAAGTGTCTGAAGCTTGGAGAGTTGTTTACATATGCTCTGAGTTCTAAACCTTGGCAAAGTTTCACTATTCCAGAAGTAATTCTACTTCGTTATCTCACTATTTATGTTCAGAAAATTCAATCACCATTTCAAACAGTAGACGAACAAGTTTCTCAGATTCTCCTCTGTATTTTGAGGTAAGTGTGGAAGAAGAAACGTTGAAAAAAGTAGTCTTGCATTCAGTGGCTACAGCTTTTGCAAGGAGGGTCTTTCCGGTACCAGGAGGACCGACCATCAGCACACCCTATTAAAATGAAAAAGAACCACTTTTAAGACAAGAATCAAAACACAAACAATTTCACAGTTTGTTTAATAGTGTAATATTAAAATACTAGATGTAAACTTTGCCTTGAAAAGTTATTCAAAGGTAAGTAATTACTATTGCTTACTTGCAACAATAGAGCTGAAGACAGTGCATTTATCTGGCTGACATCTTCATTTTGTTAGTACTATTTACCAGAAATTTTGTTACTAAAAAGTGGGAAGAATTTATGTAAACTGTAAAACACATGAAATTTCTTGTTCTGCCAAGATCCAATCTCGGAATCCTACTTGTGATCACAGGATCAGATTTTTTCATACCTTCCATGGTCTTCTAATTCCCTTAAAAAACTCCGGCATCCACATCGGTAAAACTACCGCTTCCTTAAGCAGCTTTTTGGCTTCTACTAAATCAGCAATGTCATCCCTGACAAGAAAGAGAAAGTTGTTTGACAGATTCAGACAGCCTGCAAAAGAATCAGTCCACAGCTCAAAATAATACGCTATTAAACTTATTGTTGTGTAATGGCTCTTCCATAATTCAGGAAAATGAGTTGGATTTATTTATGTTCTAGCAGCAAAAGCCTACAACAACTACAGTTTACATCTGGCTAATAGACACCAGCTGGATGCAAAAGCACAGAGAGCCACATTAATTATTTCACTAAAGCATCATTGTTCTTACTCATAAAAAGAAAAAGCAGAGTAAGGCAAGTTGGTAAAACTTATGCTAGCTACAGCTGATGCTTTCCTCTTTTGCCAAGACGTTGGCTGTCCCTGAAACTGGAATAGCACCTTTCATCGTTCTGAGAACGATTTACTGAAGACTAGTAAATGGAGCTGAATTAAAAAGAATGTTTAGAATTCTTTTTCAGAGTTACAAATGTATTAATTCTTAGATACCTTATAGGCTGGTCTTATTTTCTTGAGGGTAACTCTCAGGGCATTCCACTTATCAGCATGTGCCCAAGTAATATTTTGGTTTCAAAACATATCTATATGGAGAATTAGTTTCAAATCTGAAGCTGTAATTTAAGATTCAATATAAAACCTGAAACATATATTTACATATTAAACTGAAATATATGACAGTTGCATGCATACAAAGTTGTCTGGAGGATCATTCAGTTGTTTTTTAAAGCCTACTTTATTTGCCAGAAGATTTTTGTTCATTTAATCCTCACAAAACCATCTAAGCTTGGAAACATTTGGAACACAAAATGACCTTTGTATAAGGTTTAATATTTAACACATTTATGTAAAGGTCGTGGCACATGATTATGTTTTATACTGGCAGTCACATCACGTCCAGCAAGGTTTCAAAAGGGTTCCTATATTGACATAACTTCCTTGTTAATTAGTTTTCTATCTTGGTACAACCCTGGGTAGCAAAACAGGCTTTTAAATGAAGAGACACTGGCAGACACTAGAATTCTATACATTGCAAAAGAGTACCTCAAATTTTGATTTCAGGACTCCTAGAAAAGTTTGAGAAGCTTTGTATGGTCAGGTTGGACAGGGCTCTGAGCAACATGATCTAGGGAACCTGCTCACTGCAGGTGGGTTGGACTAGCTGATCTTTAAAGGTCCCTTACAACCCAAACTATTCTATGAATCCATGTGTGGAAAAAAAAGTTCTAAAAATATTCAACTACACAAGAAGTTTAGTTGCCTATTTCATGAGTAAAGAAAACCCGTAGGTACTTTTTATACGTAAGCATGTGCTAAAATGCTTAATTCTTTTCATATTGTGTAAGAGGAAAAAGAAAGAAGAACTCAGAAAGACTGGCAGCAGCATTCAAACTTACCATCGAATGTTGGGATTCTGAGAAATTATATCTCTTTCCAAAGCTTCTACTAAATCTTTATCATATCCAGTACTATCAAATTTCTTTGGTTCAGACTCTGAAATCTCAGATGTGGATTTGTTCTACATATAAAGGATATAACAACATGAATACATAACTATGGTTATGCTACTAATGGATTTTTATAACAAGTCCACAACAGCATCATATTTCTAGAAGGTGGCAACATAAACCAGCATGAAAATTGTGAAGCGTCCGTATTACTGCTGCACTGCAAGACCAATGTGGTTCACCCAGACTTCTGCACGGCCCTGGTCCCGTTTCCTTCTCCCCAAAGCCAGCATACTGTACTGATGCAGTTTCTTTGCTTCAGTAGGTCATCAAAACTGCATACGCCTATCCCAGTATAACAGTGTTCGCCTCTTCTCCCAGAGAGATCAAAAACTGAGACAGTAGCTGGGTAGGGGGAATTATGTGTGAGACTGGATCAGAGTGTGTCGCACTGAGCTAGAGTATCTCAAATCCTGTAAATGTCATAAATACGCCTTATATATGGGACATCAAAAAAATGACACAGGACTTCCGTATGTAGGATGAGCAAAGGTGATCTGCAGGAAGACCACAGAAGTAAAAAAGAGCTAATTAACTGATACAGAAGCATGGACAAGAACAGCAGAGAAGCAGCTCTGCAGTAGAGCAGAAGCAAAGAAGCTACACAGTTGAAAGGGCTCAAACAACAGAGACCATGCAACTGAAAGGAAATAAAATGCACCAGACATACCCCGTTTTTTTACGCACTTAACAGCAAGCACTGGTGATGACAGAACAACTGTAAAAAAAGAAAAAAAGACCTACCCTGTCTCTGTGCATGTATATCCTTAGTGAGAGAGGGTTATCACTCAAAGACAATGTAATTTAGCTCCTAATAAAAGTAGTAGCTTACATAGCTAAACAATTCCACACTTGTAGTCTACCCTGTTTCCACAGGCCACGACACCTTGCCACAACATAAGGCTGCTGAAGCTAACAAACTATTACATCGATATTTGATTTATTCAGACTCTGGAAAACTATGAATTTAGTGACTTCAGTATGATCTCTTACTCTGGTCATCAGTTACATTTATGGAGACTAAAGCACAAGCAAAAATTAAAGCACTCTGACTGCAAAGAGCAGATCATAGATCATTCTCTCTCATGAAATATGTTGGGGTTTTGTTTGTTTTAAACTGAAAAGAGTCTGGAGCTAATACCAGATCTCAACAACAAAAAAAATAAGTAAAGGTCTCCTTTTAAGATTAAATAAATCTTGAAATGCTTTGGGGAACAGGTGAGTCAATCTCAGTCTAAAATATATGAAAGCAACTAAAGAACCCGCAAGGATATCCCATTTGAATGAGCTCCATCAGGCTCGGTTTCAGTAATTCAGTGGTATAATTTTAAACTACCTCCAGGTTGCAGTAAACAAGCTCACATTTACCAGATAACTTCTTCCAGATGAGGGTTAGTTGTGGGTTGGTTTTGTTTTTTTTTAATTAATCCATAACCAAGAATGTCCATAAAGCAAACATACCTTACAAGGTGAGATTGAAATCAGCATGCTGACTTGAACAGATGAAACATTTTATAGGCATCTAATTTTATAATACACTCAATATTAGGAAAACAAGACTGAGTTTCTCAATGAAGTTATTTGCAAGCTTACCTTTTCTTCTTTTCCTTTATTTTGCTGATCCTTTTTTTCCCGGCTGCGGACCGCCTTCCCTTTATCACTGGGATTTCGAGAGGATGGTCGGTGAGAGCCTCTGACAGCCGCACTTACACGATTACTGTGACCTCTGCAATCACTGCACTGAGCAGACTGACGTTTTCTGGGTCCTGGCGAAGGTCTAATTAGTTGTAACATATGCAAAAAGCCTCAGTGTAAAGTCACTGGTGAGCACTACATAACCAAATCAAGTGGTTACAAACTGAAGTCATTTTGCTCAAGATAAAAATCCGTAGGTCAGAAACAAGACTGACATTTTTAGATAGCCACTAAAAAAATCCATTTTCCCTTTGCCACAAGCTCAGAGCTCATCTGCCTAAAACAAACTCCTTGCTTTGTGTATTTCATAATTAGAAGGAATCCTAGTATTATGTAGCTTAGGAAAAAAAACACAACACAAACAAAACACACAAAAACCAAAAACCCACTCCAATATATTTTCTCCTTATCGCTATGGTCCTCACTCTCCTACCCAAAGTAATGTAAAGGTTTCTTGGGAATGACAGTTTTTCACTTCCTTTAATTTTTACTTCTTGGGAAAGAAAATGTGTATGTTAGGCCTCTAGTTGTTTGAAACTAGACTAGTTGTAGAAGCACATGTGAATAAACCAGTACCATGATTGGTATTATGGATTTCTCTTTTAAACTTCAGTTTCTTCCCCACACAAATCCGTTATTCTCACAGATATACTTTTTCCATGGGCCTTCCTAAGATTCCAGTATTAATAACCCATCAGTTAAGTTTAAGTTCAGGAATATTTCTAGAGAACAGAAAATAGAAGACACTGATTTGGACAGCATTCACTTGAACTAGAAGATATGTTTTGACACATCATTCAAGATATACCAGGACCCAGTACCTTCATAAAAGCTTTCTTTAACTGATTCACAGCAGTAAGTTTGTCAGAACTGTAGATATCTCTTCAGGGTAAAATGCGTATTAGGCAATATGAATATGCTAATGATAAGATCATAAGCGTTGAAGTCTTTTCACTCTCCAAACGGAGTATCCACCAACCTATGCTTTTATTTATGAACACCTAGCCACCTCTGAATTCCACCTCAAAGCTCAAAATAAAGAAATAGTGTGATTACACATCTAATCTCTACCTAAATTTGTGAGTTCTGCTGTCACAGTATAGTTTACTTTAGTCGTTCGAACGCAACATGGCCCAAGTTTTCACTGTGGCTTTTTCATATTACCACAACTCAATACTTCACCAGCTGGCAAGATACATGGAACAGAAACAGTTCTCTCAAGTCTTTCCCTTTTTAGAAACACGAGTTTATATATCTCTTCTCTACAATGCTTCAAAACATTAGGAAAGTTCTACCTCCCAGAGTTTATTCTTGCAGAAGGCTTGAATGAAATTGGCTAGCAGTATTCCAAAGTTATTAAATGAGATAAACAGAAACAGTGTGATCACACAAGACCCATTTCTTTCAGGAGGCAGGCTTAAAATAAATTAATTAAAAAAAAAAAAAAATGTAAAAATGTACCAGCAAGGACTGAAGTTATCCATCTGTGAGAAACAGTTTGTAAGTTCAAAGCCTCAAAGAACAGTTTGCCAGTACAGCTAAGCTGATCTAATAGTCACTTTCTGTCAAATTGCACAGTTCCATGTCTGCTTTGCATACACTCCTGTTCCCGCCTTCATGCTACCACTGGCATGTGTTAGAACCTCCAATTAACCAGGTCAGACAGCTAATCTCAGGAAAAAAACCACAAACAACAAAAACCAACCAACCAACAAAACCCACTAGACCCACAAAACAGTGACTCTTTTGCCCATCTAGCATCCTGAACCAGCTAATCAATGCCAACAAAAGTGAAAAAAAAACCTCAGGCAACTGTGGAGGGTAGGACTCTGCTTTCACCAGCAGCTACATTGACAAACGACACCACAAGGCCATAGTTTCACGGACACTAACTCAGCATAATTCAAAACTACTCCTGAAGCAAGCCGGCCTGCCTGCAGCTGCTTCTTCCCACCCCTTCCCTGAGCTTATCCTAGTCTACGTGACCAGTTCACGAAGGAGATCAGGGAACCACCTTGCTGTGCAAAAGGAACTAATACTCTGATAACACGTCTTCATCCTTTTCATATCAGCTACATGTAGGATCATTTTAAATTTGATGAGATGGTCAAATCAGGAATAGAGTTGAGCTTCCATGGAATGACAAGTTTATCTTAACTGGGGGGGGGGGCACAAAAAAAAAAAAAACACAACAAAAAAACCTGCTTGACATGAGTAAAGCCTATATAAGGTAAAAGCCCCAAAAATGTTCTGAAGTAGGCTGCCTCAAAACGGCATCTCCTTCACCACAAATGGTGGCAAGCTGCTGGTGTGTTACACATCTAAGTTCTAGAACAAAAATTACAAAGGAGCAGGCTGAATTCAAAGCACACTTTGCCCTGATAAACATTAATTTAGGTCTTCAGGTTTCCTCTTACCGTTTTTTTTTGGCAAAGACCAGACTTCTGCATCATGAGCTGGTAATTCTTGTTGTGAAGCTTTCAATGGAGTACTGTCTAGTTTAAAACTCTCTAGTGTTTTCATTATATCTTTCACATGCTTAGCTTCCACACTTAACTGTTGCCAAACCTGATTAAAAAAAAAAAAGTAGATTAAGCACATTGCAAATAAAGTTTGTAACAGTCCTCTGTTCAAGCCCACGTAATGCCTGGATGGATTCCACAAGGTTTCACAAGCTACCCGATTCTACTTCAATAGGCAAGAATAGTGCACATCAGATATTAAAAATGTTTTTCTGCCTTCCTCAGCACATTTAAAAAATAAATACATTTTGGATTTAACACCAAAGAGACTTTTGACACATTTTTCATATCAAGAGGGAAATAAGACTATTCAAAATGGTATCAGCCTAAAAAATTTCAGCACAACAGGGGCACGCATCAGCAAGAAGCTGACAAGGCAGACGGTGCATGGGCTCCCCAGGGCTGCGTTCCATTGCCTGTTTTGTCACTGTCAGAGCAAGAAGCCTTCTTTATGACTTAAATAAGTCTATAAAAAAAAAGCCTATATATAAACAGCACTACAGTTTATCAGAGAACGGTGTGAGTATTTTTATACTTTTCTTTACCATAAGATAGGCAATTTTTGCCACTTTAATGCTTTTCCCTCAAAATTTCCCAGAAAAGTACTATTTACCTGTTGCCATTTCTGTTGCAGATACGTATCTCTGACAGAGTAGAGACACTTATTCATTTGGTCAAGAACTCCCTGGTAGTAGACCATCGCAGAGTCATAATTTCCCAGTAAGGCATATTCACGGGCCAGCTTTACATTCTCACTGATCATAACAAGGCTCATGTTCAACATGAAGCTGAAAAAAAAATAGGAAATATTAAGGAAAAAAATAATCCCAGGACCAAAACAAATTTTTGCAACTATTTTCATATACTTACTACCTCATTTGGCATATCAAAATATAAAAGCTGGAAATATATCAATTAGAAAAAGGCCCTAGAACAAGTGTCATCCATATAAAAAGATAATCGTTTCACTACTACTAGAAATGAAACTCTTCACTTCATAGAACTGTTTCATGCAATGAAGATTCTGTTGAAAAGCATATACAAGATACACAGATTTAAGTGCACCGTTGCAAGCCACAATTGCGTACTCTCCTTCCCTCTTCATTCTATTGTAAGATAAATTGGTGTTTTATTGTTAGGACTACAACGTTGTTCATACTATAATGGCCTGTGGTTTAAAAAAGAAAAACAACCAATAAACCAAAGCCCTTCTTCCAGATGCATTAAGTTCTGTTCATTTTTTTGCCTTAACATTCCACGCATTTAGGTTAACAGTCTGATTTTTGCCTAGTGGAGAACGCTATTTTTCCATTTGTTTGATTTTACAATTCTTCAGTTTTATTTAATGTTCCTTTGAAGCAAATACCCACCTTCCATGCACAGCTTGCACCCTCCTATTACCTTCATTTTTACACTTAAAAAGAAACTCTTTAAAAATATTAAGGCTGCTAAGCTATCACTGAAAGGTAAGGAAAGGCCACAGTTAACTGTGTAGCTACCCACTTTATTTAACATACTGTTCAAATCATGCTACTTGTCCCCACCAGTGGTTTTCGGTTTGGGTTTTTTGGTTTTTTTTAGTTGTTGTGGTTTGGGGTTTTTTTTGATCAAATGTTATGGACCATAACCAATTCCACTCTGTAGCATTAGCAGAATTTGCACTTCTAGATTAGAATAGCGCAGAATTATTATTTATACAAATACAGTAATAAGTAGAAGCAGCAGACTTATTCTTTACAGCTGCCACTGTCCATAGAACAGTCGTCCTATGTTCTTATGCGTTATTTATACATCCCATTCCCTTCTTCTCTAAGATACCTGCACTGTGTCCACTTTTCCTGTCTCTTGCACACCAAGAATTTCCCCTCTCCTTCTAATTTCCTAGAATCAAGCACAGAAAACATTAAAATAAGCAAATAAACATGCCTGTAAGAGTCGTCCTGCTCTCGTTTCGGTACCTGTACCCAGTACCAGTAAGAAGGAACTGCAGACAAGCAATTACGGCTAAGCCCTGGGATGAAGCATACTTGGTACAGATCAACTATTTAAAGAATGTAAGAGGTACTGAACTCACATGCGCAATAGACAGACTTAAGACTCAACACATTTCAAGACCAGGTCAGGGTCAAGTTCGGACACATTATCAGAGCTTTGAGAAGCCACACTTTGCACGCACCAGACAATCTATTGCTAAAATATTAACTCCTCATTGTAAAGAGGGGTTGCTAAGTACAAATCAAACATTTTAAGACTTCCACTCCTTTTTCTGCCTCCTTCCCAAGAAGCTTTATGCATGGACACACAGCTGATCCATTCCTGAGCCAACATCCTCTTCTTTTTGCTTACTTCCTCTTCCTTCCCCCGTTTCCCTTGAAGCAGATAGCTGCTGTGACAAGTTCCAGCCCAAACTCTGGCAGCAGCCCTGCTGAAGACAGGCCTCCGATACCCCACACCCAGCCAGACCGAAGGGACCCGTGGGGTTGGGGCTGGAAAGAGCCTATCGTACGAACCTACACCATATAATCTCACTCTGGCCAGAGTCTCGCTGAGCTGGCCACGAAGCCTACAAGCTGATAAAGTCAATGGGATCAGCAACTACAAAGACGACCACATCCCAGGCTAATTAGGCTTTGGAGACACAGTTTGACTCGGGAGTTCTGTTGGTTTTTACCTCAGGAAAAAAAGCCTGAAGGTGTTTGTCAGCTGCTGTGTGGATCATCACACAGATATTACCAGAGTTTTCCCTGCTATATTTAGGAGCAAGCTTTTCCACTCCCGCTCATCCTACCAGATACACCTGTTTGCCTGTCCTGAGAATTCAAACTGATGACTAACACTACTGAAATCACAAGTTGAGCAAGATGCTAATAAACATTTTAAAAGTCAAGTAACAGCAAGTTACTAAATCCAAATTAGACTTTCAAACACAGAGAGAAATCATAGATGACTTTTTTTTTTTAATACTGAATGCTGTAGAGCAATCCAAGCAGAACAGCAAGTCTGTTTAAATATCCAGGAAAAAAAAAAAAGCTTGCAAGAGTAGTTTTCATCTGGAAATGTGAAAATAGCAAGAATCAAAAAAACCCAAAACTAAAGAGGCTAAGTCAGAAAGATATGAAGGCTTGGGACCAAACCGACAGTACTGCACATAACAAAAGAGTAAATGTGATTTTCAGGTGAGAGAAGACAGAGAAAGGACAGAAAGGAGAAACAGACACATAAGAATGAGCTAACATCTCATATGGGGGGGAGCAGTAAGGTGCTCACTGAAGTTTATAATGCTTCCAACATAACCAAAAGTAGTAATTCCAATGAAAACCAGGAATCTACCCGTTTCATCAGTAGTACTGAAAATGCAAGAGAATTCAGTTTAAATGAGAAAACCAATTTCATTTGTTGCTTCATGTTGAGTCATAAGAGCAGAAGAGCTTGAAGCGGCTTCCAAACACAAGGCTCTTGTGTACCAGTGGGGCAGAAAAGCTGCTGGCTCTGCTTGTGTCTGGACATGCCGCTGGAACACGGGCAGTGCCAGGGCTGATACACCAATGCCAGTCTATAGGCTTACTGCACCTCTAACGGAAGACGCTGAAGCAGCTCTAAAAGAGGGGAAAAAATGGAGTTAGAATAAAAATCTGAAACCAGATTAAAGTTGGCAGCAGAAAGTCATAGCAGACTCTGGCAGCCCAGAGTAGGGTGTAAGGCACGTGTGGGAGAGGCACGAGTATGCACAAATCCAGAGTTAAACCAGACCTGAAGGGATTAAAAAAACCCCACAAAACTAATCCTGCACCACTTAATAATTTTTAAAGTATTTACGAATACCTAGTACTATCACATAACAGGATGCCAAAGCAGCAAGGCTGCACTTATCAGCTATGACCTTTCCATGAATCATGCCCAGTGAAGTTATCTATGTTCAGCAGCAACCAAAATAGCAACAGGGTTGTAAAGTTTACAGCAAACAGGATATAAGGAAAATAACCTAAGCATTTTGTCTTGCAAGTTTAATTTTACACTATGCACAAACACACACGCTTCAGAATAAGAATATTCACTCTCTACACTAGTTGCGAGAATATATGATTCCCTGAAATTACCACAATAGGAACCCATCAAATTAACCCATCTCTAGTAAGAGTATGTTTTATTATTTGCTTGAAGCTCCTAAAATACTTCCAGAGTTTGGAACAGCCCAGAGGAGTGGAGATTGAAACCTACAAAGGTTCAAGATACCTACAACTTTTAGGAATGACATTTTAGAACTTATTTTTATATTTTATTTTAAAGATAACAGCCTGACCATCATCAAGAAAACACTGGGGATACATCACATTTTCCACAACGACTTTAAGGAATTATAATAAGGAATGACTACAACTAGTTTCTGCTTGCATTCATACATTAGAATTTGGGAAGCTGTAACTGAACACAGTATCGATCGCATTTCACAAAGAAACCCGCCACAACTTTAAAAAACAAAAGAAGAGATCGATATGCAAATGTTGAGAGGGAAGATTCAAGTTGGGATCTATCGACTACTATGTGGGACCCCATCAGCTACTCTGCCGAGCACAAGCCATACAAGGAAAAGACTTCAGAGTCCTTCCGTCCAACCTTAACTTTTGGACTAAGCCAGAGCCCAATTTTGGCAGCGCCTACACGTTTCCATGATTTCAGCCTGCTATACAGGCTCTGACATCAAAGCAACCGTGCAAAATTTGAAAAGTTCTCTCAGCAAGCCAGAAGAGAAAAAAAAACAACCCCAAAGTAATAGCTTTCAGGAATCAGTTTTTACTGATGACACAGTGACCTGCATCACCTCCGAGCTCCCTTCCAGCTTTGATATTCTTCTTCATAACATCCACTCCTAGCAACATTTGGTATCAACAAGCGATTGTGTTAATTACTTGGGAAATAGAAGAGTTGCCAGACCTACTGGATACTAAACAAACTGGTTCTCATCCACTTACTGTACTTAATAGTAACGGTAGTGAAAGAAAAACCATCAGCAACCACGAACATAAGCATACCTAGTTGTTTATGCAAAAAAAACCCAAAACAACAAAAAATCATTAGACAGAGATACGCTGTTGGCAGATGATTTTGTTTTCAAGGCTAAGCCTTTCAAAAGACTTAAAAACCAAATCGTATTACTTACTCCCCATTTCACAGGGGCTGGCACTCTTTTAGATGGTCAATATTAAATCAGCAAATTTCTCAGAAAATTTAAAAGGGTCTGCAGCAGAATAGATATCTAGAATCGATGCCTACTGCTTCTCTCTGTTTGGAGAGAAAACTAAGATAACTGCAAGAAGCTTACTTCATGAAGAAGAAAAAAAAACCCAAACAGGCGGAGGGCGAAGGGAGGAGTAGGAACCAACGCTCCGTGTGTGAGCAGGTGCCAGGGCACAGCAGCACCCCGACTCCCCCGGGACAGGGTGCTGAGCACCCACACACCCGCAGGCACTCGCGTTTCGACGGCTTTAGGGACGCCACAGCGATGCCCCGTGCGGCTCCGAGCACGGGTAAGCTACAGCAGTGACATAAGACCGACGAGCACAGTGTAATGGTGTCACGGCTATCACGACACCAACGATCGCAACGACTCAGCCTCTAAAGCAGCGCC